CGCCGCTCCCGGGGTGTGAGACGCAGGCCACGTGGCAGCTGAGAGACAAGGTGGGGCTGGTGAAATCGTCTCTTTCTAGAGTGGGCATTTCACTCTGTCTGCTAAGAGATTTCTTACAAAAGATAGGGGGACCAGCAGATCGTTGCTAGACTCTCATGTAGTCGTCTGTGGTTCGAATCCTAGACCTGGCAGCTTAAAACTCATGTTGGGTGTGTGTGCGTGTGTGCCAAAATCCCAAGAGGAGAACAGAGGAGAAGGGATCCAGCACAGCCATGCCCCCCGGGGGGGGGTGACCGCTTGCTCTCTGGTGAGTACACGTAACAGAAGCGCCCAGCAAGGCTGCGAAGGTTCTGAAGTCACTGGATCTATCCCACAGAAGGCCCTGATGCAGGCTGGCCACCGGTAACCCAGCGCTGGCTGCTGCGTCTTCGCTCCTCCAAACACAACACCTTCACCTGGCCTGGATTCTGAATGCGCCGGGAACTTAGCAGACCCGGAGTGGTCCTTGCAGTTTACCCAGCATGCCATGCAGCTCCAGAGGAAGAAGACCGCCTGCCTGAGACCCGGCGTGTTGGCAGGCGAGATGGCTGCGAGACCAGAGTGCCTGTGTGCACTGACTACCTCAACTAAACACTAGGAACTTGAGCATTTCGTGGGAGAGCAGCGAGCAAGCCCTCAGCCCCCTGCTCACACCTGCGTTTCGCCTTAGTTATGGTCATCAGGAAATAATGCTTTTTATGACATTATCTGATAGCTGGGGTAAAGACTGGCAGAAGCCCTTGAACACCTGTGGCCTTCGGTGTGGCCGGAGCAGACAGTACTTTTCTTGCATACAAGAGTAAAGGGTGATTTGTAAAAGGAGCAGCAGTGACAGCGAAACCTCAGAGTTCTCTGTGGTACAGGGGAGCTAAATACTGGCGTGTGTCCGGTCCCTGACAGAGCACCTAAACCCTCAGAATCTGTTGTATGCTCATGCTTACTCCTGGGGAGGCTAGGCAGCTCCTGCATGGGGCTGGTCAGAGCAGAACCAACCCCAGGCTCCAGGGGCTCACACACACCCTTCCCTGCCCACCTGGGGGGTGCGGCCATGATTCAGTCACCAGTGCCTGTGTGATGGCCCTCCATAACCCCCAGCAGCAAGGGTAGGAGCGCTCCTGAGCTGGTGTGCTCACCCACGGGCCAGGGGCCAGCCCACCCACACGCACACAGCCCTGACTCCAGGGAAGAGACTCCTGAGCTTGGGGCCCAGCCAACCTCTCCTGTGTCTCATCTGGCTGCTCACTTCTTTTTCTGTTTGTTTGTTTAGATAATTATTTTAATTTACCCTTCTTTATTATTTTAAATTTGTTACCGGTCACGTGCACTCACGAGAGAGAGAGGGAAAAAGAGAGAGAGACAAAGTGAGTAAGCAAGCTACCAGCTCTGGGACTTGAACCGTGGTCAGCTAGGTGGGCATCCAGTGCCTTAACCACCATGCTACCTGCTGGCCGTTTGCATCTACCCTTTGTAATAACCCACACAGCAGTAAGTCCAGCATTGTACTGAGCTCGGGGGGTCTGGCAACCTCCCGAAGTGTGGACTCCAGGCGGCCGGAACTCAGCGGTGTCAGAGCTGAGCTGCGTCGTTTGGGGAGACAGTACACGTTTGCTGTCGGAGAAAACCAACGCCACAAACGCCGAGTATGGAGGCCCCCCGCTCGGGATGCGCCAAGGGCACTCCACACAGGACTGACGGGGAGCAGGGCTTCAAAGGGTCTGGTCGATGTCCAAACCCTTGGCAACAGCCACGTGTCCCTACTGCTCCTTCCCATGGGAGGCATCGGTCCTTGTTTTAGTTGCCAGAGAGACCGAGCCAGAGAGGGAACAGGGAGAAGGCACCCCAGTGGGTCATGGTCACGCCACAATCTCCCTTCTCCTCCATCTCTTACTCTGCTGGGTTTCTGGGCATGCATGCACGTGCACACATGCACACGCACACATGTATGCACACATATGCCTCACGTGTTTTTAAGGCCCCAAGGCTGGGATTCAAACTGTGAAGACAGCATGCAGGGTCTGGATCCTTAACCACTAGGCTCAAAGGATGCCCTGAAATTGTGTTCTCTGACAGGAGAAAGGTAACAGAGTTTATAGTTAAAAACAGGAGCAAAAAGGGATGGAAAAACAAAACCCATGGGACCAGCAGTTAGCGTAATAGCTATGTCGCTGGGCTCCCATGTAGTCAAACGTGGTTCGAGTCCCAGACCTGGTGGCTTAAACTCACACCTGGCATGTGTGCGTGCGTGCCCAAGATCTCGGGAGGAGAATGGAGGAGAAGGGATTGAGGCATGGCCAACCCCCCTCGGGGGGGATTTTTTGCTTTCTGTTTCTCTGTCTCTCTCTGTCTTTCTGGTGAATGCACATGCCCTATAGCAAAAACCTCACCTCCCCCCCCCCAAAAAAAAAAGCCATGAAAATTCAGATAATGGGGCCAGCAGATGGCATAGTGGTTACGCTGGGCTACCACATGGCCAACTGTGGTTCAAGTCTCGGACCCAATGGCTTGAAAATCATACCAGGCGTGCGTGCGTGCCCAAGATCCTGGGAGGAGAATGGAGGAGAAGGGGTTGTGGTGTGGCCATCCCTCTAGGGGGTGATTTCTCACCCTCCCTCTCACTGTCTCTCTCTGGCCAGTGTACATGCCCTAAAGTAAAAACCTCTGGAAAAAAATTCAGGTAATTGTGTGAAAACAATTCGCTTAGTGACCTGTGCTCAGATGCGGTTTCACATGTGTCGGGAAGAGTCAGACTGACAGCGCACTCCCCCGTTCCACAGTCTTGCTGTCTACAGTTACCGCCAGTCAACCAAACGCTTCGCCCAGAACACAAGTACAGCGCGGAGCGCACTGAGAGCAGTGAGTAGCTGGAGACAGGCCACGCTGGCAGCTCTCTAGCACCACGTGGTCACGGTCGCTCTTCACCGGTTGCTACTGATAACCTGTCGCTGCGCCTCGGTGATAGATTAGCGTTCTCCTAGTGTGCGTGGATGGGCAGCAGTGCAGGTCGGCCGGCACCGCCTGTGCTTTCGGGCACCTGGGGGAGGTCCTGGAGCACCCCGTGTGCTTCCGCACAGCCTGCTGCCCGGTGTGGTCTCGAGCCGCCCTGCAGTTTAATGTGCAGACGTGCCTTCGCTACCGCGGTCGCCGGGGGCCTGAGAACACGGCCCCACGGCCGAGCACCGAGGACTGCGGGAACACGGTGTGCAGGGGTGGGGCGGGGCTCACCTGAATCACACACCGTCGCGATGTCCCCTGACGTCTCGCTGGCAGAGACAGCCGTGACAGGGCTCTTGTGTCCCGTCAGACTCTGTACGTAGCACAGCCTGAAAGAAGGGTGGTGTGGGGCCGTTGAGACGGCTGTGCTCTTCTCCCCATGCGGCGCTGTCATCCCCACGGCACGGCTTTCTGTCTGCCCTCTCTGATCTCCATAAGGTCACCAAAGCCACGGCGAAGCCACCAACCCTTAAGCGTGTGTCCTGACTAAACCGCTGCAGTGCGAGGCCAGCCTCTGACCTGGCAGGTGCGGTGGCTGGGCCCCACGTGGCAGACGGCACGGCTGGAGCCCCAGGCCCTGTGGCCTGAGAAACAGGCCGGGCACGTGTGCGTGTGTGCCCGCACCGCAGGAGAGATGGCGGAGGAGGGGCGTGGGGTGCAGGCCCCGCAGGGCTCTCTCTTTCCCCTGGCTCTCCAGTGTGCACACACCTGGCCGCGGTGAAGGGCAGCTACTCCGACCCGAGGACGTACTTCAGGGGCTCTACCTCCGGGGGCCCACGTACCTGTTGAGGTCCCAAATGATGCAGGTGCCGTCTCTGCTCACGCTGACCACCACGCTGTACGGCTTGCAGACGCACAGGCCGGTCACCTCCTCCGTGTGCCCGTACAGGTGCGTCTGGGCCTCCACCTCGATCTCTGCGGGCTGAAGCAGAGACTCAGTAAGACCCACATAGCAGGAAGTGCCGTTGGCTCAGAACCAACAGCAGCGGATATGCTCCTCCCTCGACCAGCTCCCCATTTGTCCATGCCAACGTAAGAAGGTTTTTAGCTCCTTGCTGCAGGGCATGTGCACTCACTGGAGAGAAAGAGAGAGAAAGAAGGAAAGTGAGAAACCACCCCCCAGGGAGGAGGGCCACGCCGCAATCCCTTCTCCGTCTTCCCTCAGGACCTTGGGCACGCACGCACATGCTCCTGGCATGATTTTCAAGCCGCTGAGTCCAGGACTAGAACCACGGTTGGCCACGTGGGAATCCAGTGCCGTAACCACCATGCCATCTGCTCACCCACATCAACTTAAAAAAAATGGTAGCAAATGAAATTTTTCTTTTCTGAGAGAGAATTTTGCTATAAGGCATATGCCCTTGCCAGAGAGACAGAAAGTGAGAAATCACCCCCCAGGGGGAGGGCCACACTGCAATCCCTTCTCCTCTATCTCCTCTCGGGATCTTGGGCGCACATGCAGGCACACGCACCCAGCGTGAGTTCTAAGCTGCAGGGTCAGGGACTTGAACTGTGGTCTACTATGTGGGAGTCCAGTGATGTAACCACTACGCCATCTACTGATCCCGTACATTTAAATTTTCTTTTTCTTTTTTTTTTTTTTTTTTTGAGAGGTTTTTGCTATACGGCATATGCGCTTGTCAGGGAGACAGAGACAGACAGGGAGACAGAAAGCGAGAAATCACCCCCCAGGGGGGATGGCCACACCGCAATCCCTTCTCCTCCATTCTTCTCTTGGGATCTTGGGCATGTACACACATGCGCCCGATGTGAGTTGAAGCCACTGGGTCTAAGACCCGAACCACAGTTGACTACGTGGGAGTCCAGTGACATACCCATTACGCCAACTGCTGGTCCCAGTTAAAAATTTTTTAATTGCACACTATTTTGTCAACTTATATCCTTTTTTTTTTTTTTTTGAGAGATTTTTGCTATA